CAAGAAGGTGCGGGGAAGCCGGCGGAGCCGCCAGCTGTTCCAGTCTGCCTGGGACACTGCGGCCTTTGTCGTCTTCCTCACCTTCATCGGTGAGTGGCCACCGCCCCCCGCCCCCCCCCCCCTCCTGCCCCCCCGGGGCGCCCGCGGGGGGGCCCAAAGGTGAGCCCCTGGCAGGTGAGCCCCACCAGCCTTCCTGGTGGCCCTCAGCAGAGAAGGGAGGGTGGCTGGGAGGCTGAGGAATGAGCCTGTCCCCTCTGCCTTTCTTACAGGAAAGACTCAAGGGAGAGGACAACTTGGCCATGGAACCCTAATGCCACAGTCCCCTCCGCCCCTTCCCGCATGGCCCGCAGGCACAGAAACAAGGCTTTGTGTTGGCTCTGAGCCTGAGTCTGGACTGTTCTGGGCCCCGTCAGGTGGGTGTGTGGGCACTCACTGCCAGGCTGATGTCCACCTTGTCCCCGAGTCTTCAGCCGGCAGCAGGTTAGCGCCCGGTCTCCCAGCTGGTGGTGGGCCAGAGCTGCTCTGCGCTCCAGGCAGACCTCCGCTCCCCCAGCAGCTGAGAGCTGAGCACCGTGCTCTCAAAGGCCAGCCCGGTCCTGGTGTGGGCAGGGAGTGGGGAAGCCAGGCCCGGGGACCAGAGGTGCAGGGGGGAGGCCGCTGGCTCCTGAAGCTGACAGCCGCTACCGCCAGGATCCCACCCCGCCGGGGGCCCCACCCTTGGCTGCCTCCTGACCCTCCCTGACTCAAACACCAACTGGCCCCCTTCCTCCCAGGCACCCCCAACCCAGGGTCCATGCCCATTGAGTGAGGCTGGGCAGGGTGAAGAGGGAGAGAAACAGCTCTAATCCCTGGCTCTGGCTGGCACTCCGAGGTGGCAGGGCCTCCTTCCCAGGGAACTGGCTCCTGGGATTGCTCAGAGGGCCCTGGAGCTCCAGTAGCTGGAGAACACGGAGATCTGTGGGAGAGGTGGGGGCATGGCCAACGGGGTGCTGGGGCCTCCTGGCATGGCTCTAGCCAGCTGGATGGTGCTGGGGACTGACCCTGCCTCACCCTGTGACCCAGGTGAGATGTCAAGGTCATCCAAAGGCATCCAAGGTCAAAGGGACTCAGCCACGGCCTGGCTGCCTGGTGTGAGTACAATGGACTTCACCATCGGGGTGCTGCGACTGCACAGGGGCACCGTGTTGAACACACACGATGAGGCAGGCAGGTCAAAAAGGAAAGTTCCCAGTTCAAGCCCAGAGACCTCTGCTGCGACTGCACAGGGGCACCGTGTTGAACACACACGATGAGGCAGGCAGGTCAAAAAGGAAAGTTCCCAGTTCAAGCCCAGAGACCTCCCTGAGTACTGGGTATACTTCTGCCCGTGATCTGTAGCTGGCTGAAGGCTGGGGTGGGCTGAGGTGCTGGGACCCTGCTGGGGTGCCCCTCCCAGTGAAGGGGCTCGGCCCGGGGCCCATCCAAGGCCTGCCAGGCCCACAGACCCCTCACCTTGTCCTTGAGCTGCTGGCAGAGCTGGAGGGACACAGTGAAGTAGACCAGGGCGTCGTTGAGCCAGGGGATCACACACTCCACCTTGTGCACGTGGGTCACCTCTAGGCGCTGGGAGCCCCACTCACTGGGAGAAGGGTAAGGTCCCTGAGGGTGGGCTTGGGCCTGGCCCCCAGGGTGGGCTGGGGAGGGCATACTTACAACATGGCCCCAGGGCTGTGGAGCACCGCACCTCCAGTTGGGCGGAAGTTCTAGGAAGAAGAGTGCCAGCCCTGGTCAGGCAGGTCTGCATGTCTGGGTGTGTGTGGCCTCACCTTGGTGGAGTGGACTGCAGGGCATGCAGCCTGGGGCGGGGCGGGGCTAGGGTGCAGGGTGTGCACTCACCTTGGTGGAGCTGGGCTGCAGGACGTGCAGCTGGTACACCGTGAGGCACAACTTGTTGAGGTTGATGTAGACGTTGACCAGCAGGTCAGAGGGCAGGGCAGGGGCGAACATCCGCTGCAGGGAGGCAGGTGGCATGGAGTCCTGCCTGCTGCAGGAACCACTGACGGGAACCCTACCCCAGAAACAATCCTCCCAGGGACTGGGTTCTCCAACTCCCCTAGGCACTCCAGTACCTTCCAGGGCCACCAGATTTGGGACCCACTGACTAGAGCAAGGTCAACACCTCTGGGAACACAGGGTGGAAGCCAAGAACCCCATCCCAGCAAAGGCTCCCTCTGGGCCCTCCATGGGACCCATCTCCTGGGCAAGTGCTGGCCTGAGGCACTGACCGTGAGGCCGCTGGCTGCTATCTCGGGCAGCGTGAGGGTGGCCGGAGTGGTGAGCCGGTTGCGGGCTCTGGTCAGCTGCAGCATCACTGCATCCATCAGCTGGGGGAGGGGCAGTCGGCTAGTGTGCGGCCCGGCCCCACCCTCCCCCACCCCGCAGTGGGCACCGCAGAGCACGTCAGGGTGCCCTGCCACTGCCCATGGTCGCAGTTTGCAGGACCTGAACCTCCAGTGGGGGCCTGTCAGGATGCAGGAGTCTGGGCTTCGGGGGGTGGAGCCAGGACGTCTGCATGGATATCCTTCACACTCGGGGCCCAGGCACTGCTCCAATGGGGAATGGAAGATCTTGGGAGCAGAGTCCCACGGACAGGGGCTTTGCAGGTAGGGGGACAGGTGACGAAGGGAAGTGGGGGGCCCTAATCCAAGGTGGGTGCAGGGGCCAGGGGAGCCTCCTTCCTAGGCATGCAATGGCTGAGTTGAAGAAACTGAGGCTCTGAAGGGGTAAGCCAAGATCACTCAGCTGGAGGAACCCCCTGGGACCACCCGTCCCTCCCCTCTGCTGGTGCAACCCCCTGGCGGACTCCTGAGCCCCAGCTTCCGCTGCCTGATGGCCGTCAGGGCCTTTCATGAGCACTGGGGAGTCCTGGTTCTGGGAACACACAGGAGAGATGCGTGGTGTGGGGCTGCACACCCAGGGCACTCACAGCTCTGCAAAAGACCTTAGTCCATCTGGTTCCAGTCACGAGGGTCAGAGGGTGAGAGTGGTGGGGTGAACCACCAGAGGACACAGCGTCAGGGACAGAGCCACACATCCCAGGCAGTCCAAGCCCATGCGGGATGGCTTTGCGATTAGTGGCTTTTATTGTAGCTGCTGTGGCTGGCAACGAGTGTGAGGGGACTTCAAGAGTTCACCAGACAATGGAATTAAGATGTGAGTTTAGGACCAGCAGTTGGCTATGTCGCTGGACTCCCATGTAGTCGACCATGGTTCAAGTCCCACACCCGGTGGTTTAAACTCACGCTGGGCGCGTGTGCGTGTGTGCGTGTGTGCCCAAGATCCCGCGAGGAGAATGGAGAAGGGATTGTGGCGTGGCCATTCCCCCTGGGGGGTGATTTCTCACTTTCTGTCTCTCTGTCTCCCTCTCTTTCGGGTGAACGCACGTGCCCCATAGCAAAAACCTCTTAAAGAAAAAAAGATGTGAGTTTGTCCTGGTACAGAAATGTTTGAAATGTACATATACCTTTCTTATGACACATTTTCCATGGACTTTCAGAAGGCCCCCCCATTATCTGTCTCTTTTTCTTTTAAAGATTTTTTTTTAATTTGCTCTATAGTGTGTGCAATTGTTGGAGAGAGGTAGGAATGGAAACCACCCCCCAGAGGGATGGCCATGCCACAATCCCTTCTTCATTCTCTTCTTGGGACTCTGGGCACACACGCGCGTGGTGTGTTTCTCAAGCCGCAGGATCTGGGACCCAAACTGTGCAGCTGGCCAGGAGTTAGGGATCCGGCCTCCCTAACCACCATGCCACCTGCTGGCCTGGCTCCCTTTTACAGGTGTAGAACAGGAGGCACTGAGTGGCTACATAGGTGACTCGAGGTCGCTTAGCTTGCAATGACCCTCCTATTCTTGATACCCAGAGCCCTTGAGCCAGTGCAGGGGGTGGTGGTGGGCCCCAGCTGTCCATAGGGCTGATGGTCTCCCACAGCCTTGGCATTTAGGGGGTGCACAGGATGGTCGGGAAACAGAAAGTTGGGCCCAACGAGAGCCGCAAAGAAAATAAAGGGAAAAGAGGCGGAGAAAGGGGAAGGGCAAGAGAGGAAGGTGGTGGTCGTGTGGTGGGCTCTGCACCTCTGAGGGTGTGGAGGGGCCCTCCCACACCTCAGCCCCGGGCCCGGGGATAGCCCATGTCTGTGGGTCCTGGGCTGTGAGCTACTGTGCTGTGCCTACCCGGGTCTCACCGAGCGAAGGGTCAACCCTCAGCTAAGACTGGGGACCTGGTCCAGGGTGCGAAGCTGCCCAAGGGCCCCAGCAGGGCTGGTGCTGAGGACGGGGACCTGCTTTCCTGCTCCTGCCCGCAAGCCCACCTTGAGCACCTCAGCTCCGGTCTTGAACTGGTAGCTTTCATCCCGGTTGGTGAGGAGGTGAATGGCCTGGCTCACGTGGTTCCTGGCGTCCTGGATCTGAAAACAGCGCCCACTGTGCGGTTCCGACAGCTTTAGACCCTGGTCTCCAGGGGGTCTCAGCACGGGGACCCGCCCCCCCAGGGGCTGTGCTCCCAGGCCACTCTGCACTCTGTGATTGCTCTCTGCCCGGAGGGCCAGGCTGGCCAGGTTTGGGGCGGACGGCACGCAAGGCTGTGGGCCAGGTCTCTGCACAGCCGGCTTGTCTCCTCGGGGAGAAGCAGAGTG